CGTATACTCTTTGCATCTTTACCGGATCTTAGTGCCCTGTCTGAGTCTGAGATTCGGTGTCTGGCCTACCTCGACGACTGGCTGGTGTGGGTTCCCAGTCAGTCTGCTTGTCTGCTCGCCAGGAGATGGTTCTTTCCAGATCGCCGGGTTTGGTTTCCTGGTGATCTGGAGGTTTTTCCATCTGTTTCCGTCCCGGGTTCGGACCTGGGCCTTGTTTAAGGCTCTTGGGCCCCTCATTGTCTTCCCTCCAGAAGTGTTCCTGCGGCTGTGGTCCCGCCTTTGGCTGTTCAGGAGGGGGTCCCGGGTTGCTCAGCGGTTGCTTGGGCGGTTGTGCGGGAGTTTGCACTTCGGCGTGCTTGTCTGCCCGCGGAGTCGGGTTTGGCTACGGCGTCGGTTGGTTCCTGCGGAGACTCCCCTTCCGCCTCTTGCATTCCTTGGGTTCCTCTGGGGATCTTGTGTTGGTGCTGCGTCACCAGCTTCCTCTTTGGGGTTTTCGGGGTTCCGTGCCTTGGCACCTCCCCGAGCCTTCGCTCGATGTGTTCACGGACGGGTCGTCTCTCGGCTGGGGCTTTGTGACCAGTGCTCACCAGGTCGGCCGAGGTTGATGGAGTCTGTCTGTCCGTCGGGCTCACAGCACGGTTCGGGTGCTCATGGCTGTCTGGTTTGCGCTTCGGAGGGTTTGGGTCACTGGGTACTCTACCATTCAGCTCTGTTTGGACTGTTCTCTGGTGGTTCTTGCCGGAACCACAGGGGTTTGGCTAACCGTGTGGTTTGTGTCTGGGGTGTGTCCTGCGTCCTGGCGGACAGCTGTCTCGGTTCATTCCTCTTCGTGGGTTGGCCAGTCGTCGCCGATTCGTTTTGTTGGCTCTGTCGGGCATATGGACTCCTGGCCATGGACGTCTTCGGGTCAGTGTGGTCTGGGCGTCGCCCATTTTGTGGCGCCCTTCCCACCTGCGAGTACTTCACGGTGGATGCTTTCGGCAGGACTGGTCGAGGTGGGGGGTACCTGTTCCTCTTCTCCCGGTCCAGCTGTTGCTTCGGATTCTGGCTCGGTTGCAGCCCATTCCCACGAGAACAGTCCTTATGGTTCCCTGGTGGCCGGCCCGGCCTTCTTTTCAGACGCTGCTTGATAGGTGTCCGTACCCGGGGCGTTTTTCCTGAGGCTTCGCCTCTTTCAGCAGGCCGAATCGGTCCTGTCCGTGACTGGTTCGGCCTTCTCTTTGGCTCTTCGCGTCTGGTATTTTGACGCGGGTATCACCATCTCTATGGTGTTCAGGTGGCTTTGTTGACGGTGTCCCACCTGGGAGCTTCGTCTTGGAGACAGTATGACGTTTCTTACGTTTTCTCGTGTTTTGTTTCCCCTCCGGCCTGCTCATGCGTCGCCTGAGCCATCCTGGTCCTTGTTCAGGGTGCCTTCAAATCTTCCCCTCAGTTTGTGGTAGCCCCTTCGGTTCAGTTTCCTGCTCTTTGGTACTGGTGGTAGCTTTATAGGTGTGCAGCCTTTCTCTGTCCTGGCGCCGGTCGGGACGGCTGCTTTCCGGAGGGGTTCTTGGGGGTATTGGTACTTGATTGGTTTGGCCGGGGGGTGCGTCCTGTGTTGTGCTTTTTGCTGTTGCCGGCGTACCGTGTCTGGGGATGCGCTGTGGTTGATCCGGTTTCTTCGTTCCCTGTTTTCAGGGCTCGGGTCTCCCAGGTCGTCCGCAGTGTTTTCATTCTTCCAGCCTGCGGTCTGTCTTTGCGCCCGTGCTGTTCAGACGTTTGCAGCTTTTGCTGCTGTGTTGGTGACGTCTCGGGCTCATTTCGGGCGCAGGGATTTGTGGGTCGCACAGGTTTTTGGCTGCCCATCCTTATGTGCATCTGTTCTTGGGCGTTCTTGTTGCCTTGGGTCGCAGGTTTGCGACCGGTTGTCTTGGCTTTGCGTTGCAGAGTTTGTGGCGGCCGCCTCCCGGGTTAGCCCTTTCTTTTCCTTCTCTTTGGGTATGAAGCTCCAGGGAGCCGTAGGGGCTCCCCACAGAAAACCAGCGTTGAATGTAATGAAATGCCATTTTCTGGGTGAGCCCCGGAGGCGCCCTGGCAACCCTCCCTCCCACCGGTTGGCGGTTTTTTCGCGTTGGTTGAAGCTTAGCTTCCGAACTGGAGCTTGGCAGCCGGCGCGGTAGGTCCAGGGCTCCCCCCTCCCCCTCCCGGGGTGGGGAGGGCTGCGCGGACGATCGGCGCGGCAGTAAAGTGTGATGTTTGCTTGTTTGCTAGTTTCCTTGGGATTGTAGGGAGTTTTCTACCTCTCTGTTCGGTTTTTGTTGTAGTTTCTTACCATGTGGGGTTTGTTTTGTTACGCCTACCTTTCTGGGTGCCTAACCCCGGTCGATGGCAGATAAGGAAAACCCCCAACCATATGGGGTTTTCCAGGGCCATTGCTCCCTGAAACCTCTCTGAAGGGGCCAGGTTCTGGCGCTGGTCCCTGGTAGGTCTGAACTCCTTAGCTAATGTCCCGGTCTAACATAACATACATTAGCCCGATAAGCTCCAGGGAGCCTCCGGGGCTCACCCAGAAAATGGCGTTTCATTACATTCAACGCTGGTTTTTTGCATCTCAATGTGTGCTTGTTCGCCCGTGGCTTTCCACGGGATGTTGGTGTGATGCAGCTTCATGTGCAGGTTCCTTCCCTTTCGGCTGCATTGTGTCAGAGGATTTGTGCACGCGGGGCTTGCTGGCTTTGGCCCTGTGTTTCTTCAAATCAAATGTTTATTCAGGTAAAGTACATACATTCAAGGTGAGATAAAAACATTGATGGATTTATAGATGGAGCTAGTACATACAGTGCCTAAAGTCACTATTTCACAAAGCGTTTTGGGCAGAAACTCTTCTCCCTCCTTAAGCTGTCCTTGAACTGGCTTGAGGTGAATGTGGAGGCGCTTGGGGCCGCCTCTGGGTCTGGTGCGATGCCCTCTGTGGCGCGTGTGTTGTCTGCATTGTTGAAGCATTTCACGCCGCTTCTGCGGGATGCAGTTTCATGGTTTTTTGCTTCTCAACTCGCGTGTCGGCAGGCAGTGCTCGCTTCTTCCTTGGAATTCGCTTGGGCCCTGGCTCTTGGGCTGTCTTCGTCCTTTTGTCTGTTGCTGTTTGCCGAGTCTGCGGTTGTGCAGTATCTGCAGGTGGCTTTGACTAGTTGCTGTCCTATGTTGGATTTGTCTTTTCGGATGCTCCGAGACTGCCCCGCTTTGGTTATAGGGACCCGGACTTGGTGGCATTAGTCGCCTTGACTTTGGTTTTGTCCATTCCCTCTGGTCTTTCCCTTGCTGTGTTTCATCCTGCTACATGCTTCAGGCTCCCAAACATCCGAGGGTTTTGGAGCCAGGGCAGGGCCTTCTTGGTGTTGAGACTTGGGCGGCTTCGGGAACTGCCCCTTCTGGATTGGTAGCGGGGGCGAGTGATGGCAGTCTTCCGGGGAAGTCCCTCTATTACTTAGGTTAGGTAACTCCTTGGAGCTGAAAAGGCTCTCCACAGAAAACCAGCTTTGAATGTAATGAAATGCCATTTTCTGGGTGAGACCAGGAGGCTCCTTTGCATTTCTTGTCCCTCAGGTTGGCTTTTTTTTTGCATTTTTTATATTTAGCCTCTGACTTGGGGTTGGATAGCCAGCGTGGGAGGTCTGGGGCTTCCCCGTCCTCCTCCCGGGGGGGTGGGGGGGTGGAGCTGCGCAGACAGCGGCATGACAGCTGTGGTGATGCCCTGCTTGTTTGCTTGTTTTCTGATTGGGGAGTTCTGCCTGCTCATTCGGCTTTCAGTTTGCAATTTTTAACCAGCTGTAGTTTGTTTTGGGATTCCTGTTTTTCTGGGTGCCTGACCTGGTAGATGGCACACACAGAGTGCTTCCAACTACATGTGGGGTGTCTATAGGCCATTGTTCTTTGTGCCGCTCTGAGGGGGCCAGATTCTGGCTTGTGGTCCCCGGCAGGCTAATAACTCCATCAATTGACTGTTGCCATGGTCTAATATATACACATCAGCTCGGTATAGCTCCGGGGAGCCTCAGGGTCTCGCCTAGAAAATGGCGTTTCATTACATTCAACGCTGGGTTTTTTCTTTATTACGTGGCTGACATTTTATGGGTGCTGGTTGAGCAGCAACACTGCACCATGGTCCATTGCATATTCCACGCTGGAGAAAACTTTATAGATCCTGCCCTCTACTCGAGACCCTATGCATGTGCTTATTGTATTTAATAGTTAATCTAGGATTGGCGATGGGTCTAGAGGGTGGATACACTAAGTATAGTTCTGGTGTTTTCTTTGAGTGGGATTGTCGTGTGAGAGCCTGCCACTGTGTCATGAGAGACTGGCCACTCCGTCCATCATTGGAGCCTTTTGTGGGAAACACTCAGCATCCACCACTTGTTGAAGCACTCAACATTTTCTTACCACCCTTTCACACACAACATAAGCTAATCAACAATTTTAGCTATTATATTTGAATTTAGCTCATCATAATGCATTATATTTTAAGCAGACAACTTTTGAAAAAATGTTGACCAGTGTAATGATTATTATTAATAATTTAATGTTTATAATATATGTCAGATCCTTGGAACACACTATGCTCGGACCATAATATTATTTCAAATGGGTGAATGGGGTGGGGGCGGGGAATTTTTGTAATGCCTCGCCTGGGAAGTCTGTTTTCTTACTAGACAAAAAAATGACTCTTAAAAATGCTTTCAATAACATTTTGGTACAAAGTGCAGATAAGTGAAGTGTCACAGGAAAAAGGTTAAAGTGAATTTTGAGAAACTGTTCTGTTTGGCATATTTCACTATGCCAAGAAGTAAGAAGTAAGATAGAAGCCTCTGGTAAATTCTTAAGAAGCAAGTGTGCTCTTCATGCACACGATAGAAATTTACTCTTGTGTTTGATAGCAAGAATGCTGTACATAGGAAATAAATAATAATGGTACTGTAATTGAAAATCATTATGAAATTCAATTTTTTATATATTTTTTTCAGTTTGTGTTTGATGCTGTAACAGATGTAATCATCAAGAATAACCTCAAGGATTGTGGTCTTTTTTAGAAAGTTGGCTCCTTGGGGCCTAACTTGATAAGACGATGGGGGTGACGCGTTCTTCGTGATGCACCCGTCCGTCACAGTCCTAGATGGATATGTGTTTGCACCAAAGTATTATATTGCTGGCAGGACACTAGCCAGTGGGACTCAAACATTATGAAACTTGAACTAAAACTAGAATGAATGTGAAACTGAATGTGAAAATGTTTAAGAATAAATATGTTTGCTGCTTTGCACAGTGGGACTGTCTCGCCATGCCAGTGGTATTTACAGTGCCTAGAATATGTATATGATTATTGAATGTACTGTATAGATTGTGTGAAGTATTGTGTGCCATGTGTTACTTTGGGCCAGTGTTTATTGTTGGTGTCGTGAGTGTGTACACCCGGCACAACCTTGGTGTCGTGCGTGCATACACCCGGCACATCTTTGGTGTCGTGAGTGTGTACACCTGGCACATCCTTGGGGTCATGAGTGCATTCACCTGGCACAACTTTGGCGTCATGAGTGCATACACCCGGCACAGCTTTGGCGTCATGAGTGCATACACCCGGCACAGCCTTGGTGTCATGAGTGCATACACCTGGCACATCCTCAACTCCACACACTCTTAATATTAATCATTGGAGTTTCACTCGAGGGAAATTGTACAAGGCATATATTTTTTATTTTCTGATCTGGTATATCAATAAGTGTGTGATGGAGGTGATCTTGTGTCCGCCAACAGTATTGGACGTATATCTAACCCCAGTCACTGTCCAACAGACACAAGTATCAATAGTCAATCCCATTTTTGGTTCTTTTGTCACAAATACAATTGTGATAGCAAGTCTGTGGCTGACTTCTCTTGATTATTATACAATTGAATTTTATAAAAAAAAAACAAAAACAAATTTGTTATTGACAATAGGTATGTATCCCCTGGGCAGTAGAAAGACTTGTCATTTTTGTGACTTTAAACCAGAAAGTTTTTATTATACGACAAGTGTTGGTACTCTTGCCGGCCGTGCTGTACGTCTGGGTGCTCTGTTGTGCCGGTTTTATCAAACAATTGGTTTGTATTATTGCAACAGGAGTTTCCTATACATAGGCTTGTAGAGAGAGATTTCAGTCATACTATGTAGAATCTAATTTGGTCTTTCTAATCATTTTTATTTTATTTCGAGGATATAGAGCATATTTGAAGGCAGGAGGTATTAGCGGCCACAAAAATATATGCATTTTTGGACTTGCTTATGTGGATGTGACCAGTGGGTGCTTGTGCAATACCTAAGGAGATTTGTCAATATATGTGTGTGTGTGGGTGTGTATGTGTAACCTAATCCCCTCCCTGTCATTCCAACTGCCTCCTGGCCCCCTCTTCCAGTCTCTTGCCCCTCCCTCATCATCCTGTCCCCAGGTTCCTCCCTCCCTCCCCCCCCCCCCCCCCCTCGCCTCCTCTTCCCCCCCCCCCCTACCTCACCTCCTCTTCCTGCCCCCTTCCTGCCCCCTGTCCCCTCTTCTCTGTCCCCCCTCCCCCTCTCCTCTTGCCCTCCCCCCACCCCCTCTCCTCTTGCCCTCCCCCCACCCCCTCTCTTCTTGCCCCCCCACCCCCTCTCCTCTTGCCCCCCCCCCCCCCCTCTCCTCTTCCCCCCCCACCCCCCTCCTCTTGCCCCCCCCTACCCCCTCTCCTCTTGCCCCCCCCCCTTGCCCCCCACCTCTCCTCTCCTCTTGCCCCCCACCCCCTCTCCTCTTGCCCCCCACCCCCTCTTCTCTTGCCCCCCACCCCCTCTCCTCTTGCCCCCCCCCCCCCCCTCTCCTCTTGCCCCCCCCCCCCCCCCCCTCTCCTCTTGCCCCACCCCCACCCCCTCTCCTCCTCCCCTCCCCCCCCTCCCCCCCCCCTTCTCCTCTTGCCCCCCCCCCCCCCCCCCCCCCCTCCCTCTCTCCTCTTGCCACCCCCCCTCTCCTCTTGCCCCCCCCCCCCCCCCATTTCCTCTCCTTGCCCCCCCCCCCCCCTCTCCTCTTGCCCCCCCTCTCCTCTTGCCCCACCCCCCCCCCCCATTTCCTCTCCTCTTGCCCCCCTCCTCTCCTCTTGCCCCCCCCCCCTCTCCTCTTGCCCCCCCACCCCCCCCTCTTCTCTTGCCCCCCCCCCATTCCCCCTCTCCTCTTCCCTCCCTCCCCCCCACCCCATTCCCTCTCCTCTTGCCCCACCCCACCCCCCCATTCCCTCTCCTCTTGCCCCCTCCCCCACCCCCATTCCCTCTCCTCTTGCCCCCCACCCCACCCCCTCTCCTCTTGCCCCACCCCCACCCCCATTCCCTCTCCTCTTGCCCCCTGCCCACACCAAGACTCTTGCACTTATAAATGCTGCCACTTTTTAACACACTTTATTATTTATGTTTTTAAAAGACTTAGGTAAAATTCTTTCCGTGAATGTATTTATAATAACTGACATATCAGATTACCAAATTTCCGAGGAGGAATTTGGGAAAGTTTACTTCTCTGTAAATATATATTGCATATTATTTTCTGCATATAATGGAAAGGCAGAGTTTTTCTGGCTAATATCTCGTGCTTGAAGCTTCTTGATACTGGTGTGGTCTGATCTGTGGCATTCCTCTGTCCCCATGCGACTCTTGCGTATCTTTACATTGCTGTGTACGCCACAATTCCACACCTTTCAGTGGGCGCACAATATGGGAATGAGATAAATTATATTACTATTTAAAATATTTTTCTTCCTCGTCACTCATTAATTGCTTTATAATGTTTCGGCACATTGAGCGAGTGCGTGTAGCAAATTAACGTGCTCTGGTGTGCAAGATAATGGTGTACAGAGTGCAGTGCCCGATTCTGGCTATGGCAACTACTCCTAATTTTTAATGTCTGTCAGTTACTCACTTTTGTTGCAGTTCACAAAGAACAAAGTCAACTCGGTTCTTGGTGCAGAACAGTTGTTACCGGAAGGATGACAAATATGTAAGGAACCATAAGGCAGATGGTGCAGCGGCAGTCACGTTTGTTTATAATTTTGGTATTGTGTGATGGTTGTTGCCGTGTTCACGCACGTTGCTCACTAGTCTTCCCACCTTGCTGCCACTTTCTTTTGATCATCACCAACTTGATTTTAACCATCTTCAGCTGCGACAAGTTTATGGGAAATGTAATTTAATACTGTTAACGTGTCTTTTTGTAATAACTTTTTTGTCAATTTTTAATAGGAATGCTTAGTGTTGATTTTTATCACTGCATTTGACTATTGCAGTTATAAGACTACACTGCTCAGGTGTACTATTGAATACTGTACTATTATAGTATATTATACTATTATACTATATTATATATATTATATTATTATATAATATAGTAATACTATTGAAAATAGTATTACTTGAACAGAAATATATTTAACAAAAATTTTGCACTTAATACTGTATAGAGATATGTCACAGGGATACATTTTTTATCACTTGAGGGCTCAAGTATTTAATGAACGCCAGGTGCAGGTTCAGAAGACACAACTTAACAGTGAGGATTTTAAGTACACACTGCAGGTGATGAGTCACAATAACAAGGCTCAAGATGTGATGACTAAACCGCACACCAGACAATGAGGAGACGACGACCTTTCAGTCCGTCCTGGACCATTATCAAGTTGAGAATCGACTTGATAATTGTCCAGGACGGACCAAAATGTGGTTGTCTCCTCATTTTCTGGTGTGTGGTTTAGTCATGATAAGTACGCACTATACAAACACTATACTATTGTCATTCAAGTGGAGTATTAGATATAGAAGTTTTAACTTTTTTGTTTATTATGAATTATAATGTCTCCATGAAAAGTTAACTGGTGTTTACCACCTTTATTTGTAAACAACATGTGAAGACAAGCTGTATGGTAAGGTAAGTGAAGTGTGTAATAACCTGGTCGGTATTGAGTGGTGCACGATCCTCTACATCTCTCTCTTTAGTGGAAATATTGTGGTTATACTGTACTAAATTGAGATTAGAGATGCAGCCATGCCTCATATTGTAGCAAGACCAGCACCTCAAACATACAACCATCATTACATTCTTTATTCAGCTGTGTTCCAGGTTCCCTGAAGCTGGGTATGTTATAAGAAATGTCAAGTTGTCTCCTATATATTAACTTGTAAGGATTTTACTTGGAGATTCTAACTAAATAATCAGTTTGATTGTAGGAACGGTATTCATTTTGTTCCAAGTGATTGAACATTTGTACCTGTGAGTAGAAAGTTGGTGTTGAAGCAATATAAACACAGCAACAAAAATGGGTTTCTTTTACTGTGAAGAAGTACTGGATATAATACTGAATTTGTATTTCACAAGACAAACAAAAGTTTAACATTTTCAATTGCCAGAATGTAGATGCCATTGATACTCAGTTAGGCACATGTATAGAGTATGAATCACTCAGTAGTTTGTGTAGTTGGTAGTGACTGAATTTTTGACAAATATTTTATGGTTAACAATTATTTTGTAGCATTTGATAGTCTTCAGTATTGGGCATTTTTCTTCTTATCTTTTATAATAGGCAGTTACATGTGATGTTGTCAAATTAGAGCCGTGAAGTCACCCGAACAATACACATAATCACTCACGAGAGGAGTGAGTGACTGTGAAGATGGATGGTGTGGTGACGCACCTCCTAGCAGCGTGGATGGTGTGGTGACGCACCTCCTAGTAGCGTGGATGGTGTGGTGACGCACCTAGTAGTGTCGTAGCCCTAAGTGTGCGTGACATTAGTGTCAGGTCTTCAGTGGTGGTCATGTCATCATATTCTCGTTGGAAGACAATCAAATATGTTTGTAGCACTTTTATGTATATCAAAACATATACAGAACATAAAAGGTGTTTGTCAACAATGGATATATTTGCTACATTTTTTGTGGGGAATCACTTTTTCTTTTTCTCTGGCAAAAATAATAATGGTCATATATTACAGTTTACTGAAGCATTATAGATTTTTTCCCAGTTTATTGCCAAGCAAATATAAACATCCAGCACAAGTTTTTAGAACATTGATATCTTTATTCTTGTACAGGTATTGCCTTAAATAAATGATGAAAATTATCTGTATTTTATTTAGTTTTGTGTTATCTCCAGAAATTAGACATTGTTGAGCCTATGTTATGGGTGTGTTGGGGCGGAGTTAGGGTTACAATCACAGTAATGGAGTTCCACCTAATGGGATTAGGCTAGGTCCGGCCCCCAGGGAAAACACTTCCCAGCAAAATAAGAAAAATAAGGTCTGTCATCTAGAACGGATTACCCTAAGCAAGAGAAGTGATGGAAACTCCAGCTGAAATTTATCCTTAATATAATTTATTAACCCTAACCCCCACCCCCCTTCCCCAGTACAACAGAAATACTTTACCACCTCGATCTTATGTTACCTCTGACTCCACATAGGATTGATTGATTAATGAAGATTAAGCCACCCAAGAGGTGGCACGGGCATGAATAGCCCGTAAGTAGTGGCCCTTTTGAGCCATTACCAGTATCAATAGATGACACTGGAGATCTGTGGAGGTGCGACTGCACCCTACGTGACGGGAGATGTCTCCCGTGACGACATAAGCAGAAGATGAGATTTACATACAGCACAACCTCTATTTAAGCGAACCATACGGGACCAACCTTGGTTCGTTGCGGTGATGGATTCATGCAAGAGATGATGCCTTCAGGAGGATTTTTTTTTTTTCCTTGTACACAATAAAAGTGAATTATCATATTATATACTGTACCTATATATTACTACTCTACTAAAGTGTTGTTGTTTTATTTACCTTATTGTTGAAGTGTGTCCATCTTGAATTCTCAGAGTTGTGACTACTGTACAGTAAATACGTACAGTACTGTATTATATAGTTCTGCTGTATGTTAAATACTACAATACAGTTTATGAAAACTATTGTGCACTAAAATTACTGGAACTTTAACACTTTAACACTTATGTACTTAAATTTAACACTTGTTCTAACTGTACACCCACACAGATGTTTGTATCAGCTTTGCTGGTGCTCGCTGCTGTTGTGTTGGTTTCAGCTGCTTAATGATTCTCCGGCAATTTTCCCTGTTAATATT